GAAAAAAATATTCAGTGTAATAAAAATACTCCTGTTGATATAAACAAAAATTCTATATATTTTTTATAACAATAATTTTCTACAAAAAGTTTTAAAATTATTTCATTGATTTGTTTTTTTTTTATTACAAGAGATGCTTTTTTGAAAATAATACTGATAGAAATGTTTTCTGTTTGAATAAAATAAAAAAGGAATAATAGGAAATCGAACAAATTCTTTTGGTATTTCTTCTTTCATTTTTCGGAGACGTCATTTCTTTTTTTTAAACTATAATATTATCGGTCCTTTCTAGAGCAACTATATATATATATAGAGAATCGGTGAATCCTGACAATATTTTAGTGAAGTATCTAAGAAGTGAAATGAAATGTAGAGGGCGAGAGGCGTGACTTCGAACTCATACAAGTCGCAGCAGATGTTACAATATTTACTGCGAACCAGAATTTCTGATATCGCAATCTTTTCATGTTCCAATACCGCTTAATAATCTTTAGCATCAACTAATGACAGAAAAGAAATTTATTAATAAAATTCTTATTATTATAGATATAATATTAGGAAATTTTTTTTTTTTTTTGATTATACAATAATCATTGCCAAAAAAATGTACAATTGATTTCACTTCAAAGATTTCACACGCAAATTTACCTCTTACTTCCAGACAGTTTGTCTTAGAATTCTAATTACTCTCGAGAGTACATGAAAGTCTATTAAGCGGGTAGTTAGATAATTCCCTCTCAAACCAGCGAACCCTACGGATTTTCCTGAAGATACTGCAAAATTTAATCAGCCATAAACAGGATCTATAAAATTTTCCCAGAATCCAAAACTTAATCTTTTTCGTTTTCTTCATTGTCATCTTTGTATAATAAAAAAATATCAATCTAAAAAACAATATTTCTCTAAAAAAAATAAACTTTTATCTCATTACAAGAGAAAGGTAAATTACATCAAAATGTACTAAAATGGTAATTCACTAAAGCTGCTTTTAAAGTGAAGCTTTATTTAAGTTCGATTGACTTTGAAATTTAAATCGTTTCCTCCTGTGTGGTTGTATATAAAAAAAAAAAAAAAAAAAAAAATCTTACGAGTGTTGAAGCTGTATACTTTTCAACCAATATCTTATCCATGGAAGACGCATGGTCGCTGCTAATATGACATTTGAAATATGATGTAGTTCCCAGCAGCGAAGTCGTATAAAAGTATAGGATGTCAGAGAAAGCTAAAAAAGACACTAAAAAATGAAATCAAATAACGAGTCACCAAGCAATGAAAAAGTAACTTGATATAAAATAAGATCAATTTAATGCGAAGAAAATGAAGTTAGCGCAATTTCTCTAACTATATATTATTAAATTAATTTTTTCCTATTTTCATTTCAAAAAAAAAAAATATTCTCAATCAATTATTATAATTATTAATAATAGTAACTACAATTTTATTTGTTTGGACCAATAAAATTTTGTTTAATTTAGTTTTTGTTTTGACAAATCACAGGAAACTATAAAGGGAAACATAATATTAAAGGGCTAATGCTCGTTAAAAAGTTGACTCTGATCATCCGTTTAACCGATCGGATTGTAGAGTGTCCGCAGCTCGATCGGATTACGACTCGGTCGACTAATTTCCGGAGCGTGTTTGCCAGATTAACCTCCTTTCGGCCCTAATATCCGTAATCTCCTGTCGTCTCCTATCATGAAACAACGCTTCCGAATTCTATGCTCGTTTCCAACACTCACCTTATCATGGAAGATCATAACACTGAGCGAGAGGAATATTCTCCATATGCAAAAAGGAAAACGCATAATATATAATATTGCAATATGTGCGCACATGAAATATTATTCGATACAAAAAAAAAATTTTCACTATATTCGTCAATATAAATTTTTTTTTTTAATTCTTATGTAACTGTTACATACCAAATAGAACAAAATCTAACGCAGTGTTAGGTAATAAAAATTTAATAAAGTAACAAAAACTGACTTGGTAAAAAATTTTCATTTTTTGAAAAAAAAGAAGTAACAGCAATAAAAGGTATTTGTTATATTTTTTTTCTATTTTTTCACTTATATAACTTTGTGTTTGAAAAAACGTAAAAAGGATATAAATAGAAAAGTGAATAAAGAACATTGTCACCGCCATACTTTAGAATATATATATGTATATATATATACATACATATACACACATATATATATATATAAAAGCAAGTGAAACTAGTTGAAACGAATCCCCTATTCCACATCCAGAAAATTTAGGTATTCTCGTAGCAGGCTCCGAACTCGGAGCCAGTTTAGAGTCCTTGCGCCGCGTATCTGATTTCAATGTGGTTCAGTTACGTGCTTCAAATCAAAAACACGAACGTTATTTCAGCACGTGGACCCAACTTTTCTCTCTTTTTCGTTTTACCCAGGCTCTCTACTCTTCATCCATCCTTTCACCCTCCCCCCCCCCTCTCGGTCCCCCTCATGTTACCCATTTTAACTCCTTTTTCCTATATATCTATGTATCTTTCTTCAACCATACAAAAATACCGGACGTAGCATCTCACTCTTTTTTTTCATTTTTTTTTTTTTTTTTGAGCACCCTGAGCTACTCTGACATTGCACACACATTCCCCCCCTCCCCCTCTCCCGCACAAATGCCACCTTATAAACTTTTATTTTCGAGAACAGTATCCGCCAAGCGACGAAACGTTTCAAGGGAAGGAGAGTATGTTCTGTCAAGCTGTCGCTGAAAGGGAGCATGCCTGCCAACTTATGGGACACGTACAATGCCAGCGAGGAATATTGCTAACCCCCCCCCTCCCAACCTACGCCCCCTCAACTCTTTTGCTATGTCTACTTATTTTCTACCTCTCTGGCCACCCAGGGCCAACCTGAGAGCTATATCATTCCTCTTTTTCTGATATATATGTGTGTGTGTGAGTGTCTGTGACCTTCTGCTGGGACTATTTTCCCAGATATTGAAATTGTATTAAGCATAGAGATGAAGAGGAGGAAGAAGGAGAAAAAGAAGAAGACACGAGGCGTTCAATAGAACGGATACTTTGTAATATCTTGAAATGTCATTGTAACCAGAATATCAAAAAAAAGGAGGAAAAAATAAATTCAAACATTTTTTTATGTACTATGGCATTGACATTCTGATGAAGAAGAATTTTGATATGGGGAATAGAGGAGAAATGTTCGCTTTAAAAACCCGTACAAGTTGTATAATGAATAAATATTTTAAAGCAGTAAATACATTTTTTCATTGAAACATATTAAATTCATTGATCCCAAAAAACTCCGGGGTAACAAGTTTCAAACGAATTGGATCGATTTAAAAAATTTTTCCTCCATATTGGAGCCGCCATTTTGTATTTTTGAAAAACTAACGTCAAATTCGTTGTCAGCGACCCTGAAAATCCCTAAGTAACAATTTTTCAACGAATTGGATCGATTTTTAAAATATTTCGTCCATATTGGATCCGACATTTTGAATTTTGAGAAACTGACACTGAATTTGTTATCAGCGACTCTGGAATTTTTAAACCAATTGGATCGTTTTTAAAAAAATTTTCCGCCATATTGGAGCCGCCATTTTGAATTTTGAAAAACTTTCACCGAATTCGCAATCAGCGACCCCGAAATCCCGTGAATAACAAGTTTCAAGCGATTTGAATCGTTTTTAAAAAAAATCTTTCTTCATATTGAAGCCGCCATTTTGAATTTTGAGAAACTAACGCCAGGTTCGCAATCAGCGGTCCCGAAAATCCCTAGGTAACAATTTTCAAATAAATTGGATCGATTTTTAAAAATTATTCCTTCATATTGGATCCGCCATTTTGAATTTTGAAAAACTTTCACCGAATTCACAATCAGCGACCCCGAAATCCCGTGAATAACAAGTTTCAAGCGATTTGAATCGTTTTAAAAAAAAATCTTTCTTCATATTGGAGCCGCCATTTTGAATTTTGAGAAACTAACGCCAAGTTCGCAATCAGCGGCCCCGAAAATCCCTAGGTAACAATTTTCAAATAAATTGGATCGATTTTTAAAAATTATTCCTTCATATTGAATCCGCCATTTTGAATTTTGAAAAACTAACACTAAATTCGTTATCAGCGACCCTAAAAACCCCTAGATAACAATTTCCAAATAAATTGGATCGATTTTTAATAATTCTTCGGCCATATTGAATCAACCATTTTGAATTTTGAGAAACTCTACATATATTCGTAATCAGTCTATTTTTGTCTATTTTTCACTATTGATTTATAGAAACTGTGATGTTTAAAATAATGTGTTTTTACAACTATTCTTTAAAAATCACTTTCGACTATATTAAAATGATCATTTCCTCTTCAGCAGGAAATCCGTTTTTGCAAAAATAGTCCACGAAAGTACAAAATTAATTTTGTCACCGCGAAAATAATAAATTATTCAAACAAACCTAATTTTATAGTCGAATGTAATCAATTATTCAACATAATTACAAATTGTGTAAAAATCTAAAAAAAAAATATATAAAAAAATTATTTTTACTATATTGGCACAACTATATATATACACACAATTGAAAATATTTTCCAGAAATAGTTCAATATTTTCTGAGTTAGCAATGTGAATTATAAATAATGAAAAAAAAGCATCGAAAATCATATGGCCTTAAACAAAAAAATCAATATGAAATTATTCTGTTTTTTTTTTATTCTTCAAACAAATTCAATTGAAACAAATATTGTTGAAAATCTAAAATATGAAAGTTTTTCAGTATTTATATTTTTGTCGAATTAAAAAAAAAGACTTCATTGTTATATAAAACTCGTAGAATATAATTGAATAAAAATTTTTTCAAAAGAACTAATAAATCTGATATCATTTTGAAAATATTATATTTTATTCTCATTTTCTCTCTATATTTATTTTCCTGCAAATATTAATAGAGAAAATCATTTTACCATTAATATTTATTTGTATTAAAATTATATAAATGACTTTGAAATACCTACATATTTTGTGACTTTTTTTTATTATCGAAAGTATTACACATCATAATAATATCAATAATTCAAGCGGAACTTCTCATAAAAAATTTAATCATTGATTATTTTAATCCTATATACGTGTTGCATTAACATTAAGAACTTGATAAAACATTACGATTCCCTTATCTTTCCTCGTCAAGCCCATCATTTTTCGTGTACATATCAATATTAAGCATCACTCGTTTACAAATTAAAAAAAAAAAAGAAACGCGAAGCCAAATATGTTATTTGAGAAATTATTGTACGTATCCTAAAATGCGGTAATTATTCGATTTTTAATTGAAAAAAAACATAATGAAGAATAATAATATACTATACAGTTGTATCTAAATTATTCAAAGTATTATAAATACTTTATTATACAATGTCTCGATTTCCGGTACATTTTCTCTGAATCGTTAATATTATAAATAATATTAATTAACTCTAATTATAATATTTTATATTCATTAAAATTTTATTATATCAGATTTTGGTTAATAAAAATTATTTCAATAATATTTAAATTTATATTGGTAAATAAAAAATTATTAATTTAACTATTTATTTATTTAATAAATAAATTTGTTTATTATTTTTATTATTATAATAAAAAAATTAGGTATTTGTTAAAATCATATTTGTATATATAATTATTATATGTATCTAGTGATGAATGTAAAAATTATTTTATTTATAATTTTTCTATATAGATGAAGAAATTGAATTTGTTTGATTAGTGCTGCCATCCTTCATGGAAGAGAGTTGAATGCTTAACAATGATAAAAATACCAGTGGAAAACTCTCTTACCATGTGTCGTTCACTTGCCCATTGAAAAATTGTGTTCGTCGGTACAAAATGGTTTAAAGTACCTTCTGTCGAATTGTAGGATTCTTCCGATATTGCAGGGTCCTTGCTCTCCTTGTTGATAACATCGACCATCAGGCCAATAAATAAGATTTCCCCTACAATACCTTTGATACAACTTGATGTACTCGATTTGATCGGGAAAATAAATATTCTCAATATCAATTTCCAATTGAGAAAAAACAAATTCAATTCCAATAAATAGAAAAATAAACAATAGAAACGAAAATCGCTTCATTATTTATTTATTTTTTTTTTTATTTTTACAACCTGGTTCCCCTGTAACATAAAGAAATTGTAATAATTAATTTATAATTTGTTCTTATTTTTTAAAAATTAATTCAATATTATTAATTTATTTTGTTGTTTTCTTGATTATTCCAAAATTTGATAAATTTTATTTTATTTTAAAAGAAAACATTTTAAAAAATTTTATTTTTAACCCTGATATTTTTAATTTATTAAAAAAAAAAAATTTTTTTTTCCTATTTAATTTGAAACAATTTCAAGACTTCTTTTTCATCTTCTCGATTAAAAGGTTTATTCTCTTTTTTTTTACAAAGCAATTAAATTGAAATGAAGAAATTGTATATCTCAAGTGAACCGAATAATAATAAAGATGATTTTTTAGGAGGAATCAAGTCTATTGCAATGGGCTCATCATGAAATCATTCTGAAGCGACGAATAAGCACTTGACGAGTTTCCCCTTTTTTTTATGAGAATTTTATTTCATCGCAATCCGGTACTTTATTTTAAGGGGGAAACAATTCGCGTTTCTACGAGTCCACGCAACATCGATACATTATCATCTCTAGCGTACTTTTCTCTCTCTCTCTCTTTCTTTCCATGTGGAATGAGAGAAATACCCCAGAGCCATTGAGCGAAAAGAGCGTTTTCCATAGTCGTAGGTTAAAAAAAAAAAAAAAAAAAAATTGTAAATGAAAATGCTCCATCGATCTGTAACCTCCTGATATGAAAGAACAATGTAACTTTCCAACTTTCCTGGGAATAAAGTGTAGACTACTCTCCTGACTTTTCTCGCTCTTTTCGAATTAGAAAAAAAGCGGAAAACATTACAAATCTATCTCGCAATGCAACTTTTCAACTTTCATGGGAATAAAATGCAGACTAAAATTTATATTCTTTTTTTTTTTGATAAATGAAATGAAAAAAATATTTATCTTTTTCAACAGGAAAAAATATTATTAATGAGAAAATTATGGAAATTAGATGTTTTTTATTGTGATACAATAATTTTCTAGCTGACGAATGAGGAAGTGAATTTCTGATTTATATTTAACCTACTATTGTTTGTGACAATCAGCAAATTTTACAAGATTACAATTAAAATTACGATTACAACTAGATTGTATGATTAATTGATACTATAATTAATATTAACAATTATAACTTGAATCGATTCTAAAATTTCTGATACAGTAAAAAAAATTCTAATTCTCGGGATTCGAACCTAACAATATTAAAAATACTGCAATTAACACTTTCGGCTAAATCATTTTTGAAAAATGCTTCTACTGTTGTTTGTTAATTTTTTAAATTATCAAGGAAAATTAATTCTTGAAATAGATAGTTTGAATAAAAAATCACTTTTTAAAATTTGAAATGTTGATCAGAATGTAAAAAAATTAAATTAAAAAAATTCTTTTATAACTCAATTTAAATTTTAAAAGAGACCAACGCACACACAACCCTTGTAATTATAGTTATATTATAATACAGTATAATTAAGTTAACGATAATACGAATCATTAGAAAAACATGAGTTCAGAGTGAGAAAAAAATTAAAGGCTCATGCAGTGAATTAAATTCAAACAATAAAAAATCGCGTGAGTAATGAAGGACATGTTTTTTTTAGTCACGAAATATTTAAAATATTGCGTGTCACATGCGCGAAGTTCTTAAATACTTTGGTGCGAATTATTATAAGCTTGGCATTTTTCCGCAAATATAAAGTGTAACTATTTTTACTATTTTTTTTTTTACTATTTCTTTTTTATTGTAAATATTTTGTATATATTGTATGTATATAGACATCCATTGTAAATTCGCCACGGGGTTAAAACTAATTTATTGTCTCTACAGAATGTTTCGTGGTCCTAGATGTACGAGATGCTGTAATTTTTAAAAAAAAGTACCAACTGCCTACAAAAACATGCAATCGCGGAAATGAAATAGTACATCCACTTTTGTTCCAACGTACGTTGTGTGTTTAACATGACCTGCTTGACCACTTAAACAAATCACTTTTCTTTATTCATAAAGTTGTATTTTTATTCTTCGAATTAGCGATCCATTGATAATTAATTTTTTTAAAGTTTTATTTACTGTTTCTCTACTGCAGTGAAAAATAATTTTTATAGAAAATACCGGATAAATTTTTTTTACTTTTAATAAAGTAATCAGAAGGTATCAAATTGATAACAAAGTATCAAATTGTTGAGATAGAACTACATTTTGATCCCCTTTATAGAATCAATTTGATGAAATAAAAATTTGGTATTAGTCTAGAAATACTTTTCACAGAAATATTTATTTTGCAATAGAGATATATATTTGTGAAATTTATTTCTAATTAAATGGAAACTGAAATGATTTTTCGTCTTTTTAAATACTTGTTATATTCAGTTTTTTTTTTTTATGTCCATGAGCCCTTCTCGTCGAGATTCTACTCAGCGTCTATCGATCATTCGTGTAATTGGAAAGGTTGCTTCATAGTGACGTTATCAGAATTCAAAGGAAACACCAGCACACATGTTCAATATGAGAGATGATTTTTCGAACACTGCGACACATGAAAGACACGACAAATTGCGAAGCAGATGAGAAAAACAGTATTGACAGTGTAGTCGTGGGAAAAAACATTTTTTTTTTTCAAAAATATTTTTTATATATATCCTATACAAAAGACTTTTTCTAACTTGATTAATTTTATTCCAAAAATTTTATTCCATATATTTGAAATTATAATTTTCGTATGTACATAAAGGAAAGTATTAAAAACAGAAAAAAAAATTAGAAAAAATGTAATAAATTTTTAATTATTTTTTTAAATTTCACTCCTGTAAAAGAATTTCAAACAGAAAGACTAATTTTCATGAAAAGTATTTATGACTGATTTTCACGAAAATTAATTAGAGGAATGAAATTGATTATAAATGAAAAAATTATTGACAGCATTATTAATGGTGGAAATATAATAATGGTGAAATGTTGAGAAAAGCGATTTTCATTGGAACATCAGTTGCATTTCTCAGTGAAATTCCGATAATCATTTATATATATTGAATTTAAATTAAATTTAATTTTAATTAATTATAAAATGAATAAAAAAAAAATTGATTATAAATTTTTTTCAACAATTAGGAAATTTTTTTACAAGGGAAGACAAAATATATATATATAATATTGGAAAATAAATTGTAGATTTGAGAAATTTTGACATAAACTATTTGTTAATTGAGAAATAGAGGACGTAATTTATATAAATTGGATGCAGAGCCGTTAAATTGTAATGACGTAAAGGGTCGAGAACCACAAATGCAAATCATTTTCTGTAATTTAGATTCAACTTACTCGCACACCCAAAACGTTGCTTCAGAGACAACAAGATTAACGATTACTTCACACTTGCATGGCACACTATAACCATCTATTTCGACCAGAGAAATTACACTTTCCGAACATTCAGTCACTCCACTAATGTCATTTTAATAATAAAGTGTGCACTGTGTGAATTCAACGCCAAATCGCGTTTATGTGAATCCAAGAACTTGAAACGACTGGTACATATCAAAAAGCCTTGAAACATAATCTGTGGTCATAGACACTCACAGGATTGTAAAATGGAAGGAGAACTTTATGTAGAAAGAGTAGGGGACAAAAAAAGGTATTACGCATTAAAAAAATAAATTCCTTCAAGTGAAAAAAGCAAGGTCAACATTTTTACAGAAAATTTAGCAAAAAAATGTATTCAAAAATTTTTTAATTTATTTATTCAAAAAATTTGTAAATACTTGTCATTTAAATATATTTTTCCATTGTGAGACAGAAATAATAATTTTATTTATTAATTATTAACAAAAATATAATAATTTATAATGATTTATTACTGAATTTATTGTAATTATAATCAATTTTCATTATTATTATTTTATTATTTATTTAATTACAATGTTCATCAGTAAATAAATGATTAATAATAATTTATTTATGATAAAAGTAATTTTCATTCTACTTTTATTGTTTTTAATTTAATTTTTTTGGCAAAATAATAATGAAATTTTAACAAAAAAACTATTAGCAAAGAAAATTTATTTTCAAAATGAATAAAAACCTTTTTTTTTTTTTTTTAATTAGAAAATGTTCTTTTATTCACCTTACCGCAGAAATGCAGAGACTTTAATCCTCTCAGGGATAATGTATCACTGAGAAATTTAAAACTCGTTCTTCTCATCTGAAATTATCTCGAACATATCCTTCGTCATGAAGCTAAAAATAATACACCACACTAACATTTAATGAGTTTAATTAATTAGTTATATATTTGCATTTAATTAATTAATTTTTAATACTGTCATTCGTGATTGAAAAAAAAATCGTTTTCCCGTTAAAACATTTTTCTTTTGTCAATGTAATACGTGATTTTTTTTTTTTTTTTACGGTTTACTCGAAGAGGAAATGTTACTCTCGAAAGACTGCTGGTGAGAATCACGTCACTACAATTTGTGACAAGGAAGGGGATTCCCAGGGACAGTGATGAGACATGATGATCTTTTTTGCACACTTATCGACAATAATCGAGAGATATTATTATAAATGATTGGCAGTTTCTTTTGCTTTAATAATTTTTTTTTCCAAAGAAATAAAAATACAAAGTTTCGATCATATATCAAAATTAAAATTTGTAATTATTGTCTATAAAATCCAAAAGTTTCAAATTATATAAAATATATAAAATATTTATTAGTTTTTTTTTTTTTGCCTTCATGCATTTATATTTTCTCGACGTGCGGTAATTTTTTTTTCTGTAAAAAAAATGCGACTAACAAATGAATTATTATTTTTATTTTAACTTTAATTGAAATTAATGGAGATATACTGCTCGGCTGATTATCCAGCATTGCAAAACCGCCGAGGAGCTTTATTCCGCTAATCAATTTTCCCCAATTAATGATATGTGGAAACATGAAATTTGCCTACTTTGCTTTATTTGCGCACAAATGCATATAAACTGAAATGCAAAAAAAAAATTGCTTGAATAAATTTACTTCATAAATGTGTAATAATTTAAAAAAAAAAACAAAACTGGAATTTCATAAGAAATTTTTAAAATATTTTTTAATGCTTTATATTAGTTATGGAAATAGAACAAAAAAGAGAAAAAAAATATATAGATTTTTAAATTATTTATAATAAATTATTAATTTTTTGTTCCTAGGTTTTTTTAATTTTTGAAAAAAAAAACATTTTCAATGATTAAACATTTTGAAAAATAGCCAGCTTTTTATTTATGATATTTTAAAACTATACTTTCACCTTTCCTCCATCTCTTGAGAAAAGTGAAATATTCTCTCGTCATAAAATAGACGTTCATATAAGGCACGTGCGCCAAGGATCCGAAGCATTGGCTAGGTGTGTTTTCCAACTTTATTCTCGAGAGAACAAAATTATTCATTTTTCGCGGGATACTTGTGTGTATTTTTTTTTTAGTACTTCTATATATTTTTTTAAATTTCTCTTCCTGGAGAAATCTTTAACATAAAAAAAAAATCATTTTACAGAAATTTGTCTTCTATTTTTTGTTTAAAAATTTTTTTTTTTTTTATCTGGTAAAATAAAATCTCGTGAACTCTTTTCAATCTTTTATTCATGATATATTTTTATCCTATACTTTATACACGGGGCTTTTTTTTTTTTTTTTTTTTTTTTTTTTTTTTTTTGTCTGTCTGCTTTTGTAACATTTGCTTATGCCAGCCGGATTTCAGAGCAAGAAATCAATTTGGGAATAAAGTCCACTGGGGATGTGGTTCGATAAAATAACTTTACTCAGAGAACCAGTCTTCCCAAAGAACCGAGTGTAATGTATTTATTTGTTCACCATCCAATGGCAATCAATCACACACAGAATTCATACATGATTCATATAAAAAATGTACATATATATATATTTATGATAAAAAAAAAATGCCTAATGTCGATAAAATTGGCTTCAGCTGCGGTTATTAGGGATGTAAACATTATTTTCCTGAAAATGAGATTGCCACGTCATTTTTGTACTCTGAAAAATCACTTTTTATTCCATCATATTTCAATTACAAATTTGGAATTTTTTTTTTTTGTTATTTATTATGAAATTATATATTTGCAATTTTTTCTCAACTAAAAATAATATCCTAGTTTGCTTTTTTTTGAAAAAAAATTCTAAAAGTTTTTTTTTAAGAACAAAACTGATGGTGAATTTTTTTTTTAAGTCATATCAATATATTCAAAAGAATGAGAGAGGTGAAAAATTTCTTTCTGTGAAAATTTTTGCAATTACTGAATTTATATATGAAAAATTTTTTTTTTGCGGGCACATAAAGGACTATATTAGAAAGTTTGAAAAAAATCCTCTTGAGAGATCAAAGTTCCGGCAACATTTACAAGGACAGGTGGAGGGACACATTCAACGTTAAAGTCACCAACTGGACCCCATGGAGACGACACAGCACTTTAGCACTTTCTCAGAAAATACGTGCAGTTTAAACAACAATTTTCAACATTTCTTCACACAGTCAATTCTCAGCCATTTTCTTGTCCTTTTTTCCACTCTCGCACAATAGTTGAAATGAGATAGAAAAAAATCAAATATTTTTTTTTTTTTAATTTAAAACGTATAATTAGGATATCAAAATCAAAAATAATGAAATTTTTCTTTGAATTAAAGAAAATTTTCTTTCACTCCAAAAAAAAAATTACAATCTAATTGTAAAAATTTCCCTGAGGAATTTTTGAACAAAAAAAAAAACTTTCATTCATCACCAAAACTTTGGGAAAAAAATCAATATTAGGGGAAAATTCTATAGTCGGAAGTAAAGCCATGTGATTTTTCATCGTTGGGTACAAAAGCGTTTGATAAAAAACTAGGTTCGTTAGTTTCTTTTCTGCATTCTACTCGCCTTTTTATCTCTCTTTCTCTCTCTCTCGTTATATATGTCCTGAAAAAAAAAATCTGCAACTTATTAGAAAAAAGAGAATATATATTTGTATAAATGACGATATAGCATTAATGGTATAATGTGAATGAAAAGGGCGCACCGGAAAAAGCAATCTTGTAAATCTAGCGTGTCAACTGAAAATTAGGACACTAGATATATGTGAATATATACATATATGTATATATATATATAGAGTAGAGAAACACACAAGGGAGCAGAGAGAACGTTGAGGAGGAATAGAATGAAGCAGTGACTCCCGAGTGTGCTGTTTGTAGTTCCTTGCACAAGCCTCCGGTTTGCATTTAGTTTGCATACCTGAGTGAAAGTTTAAAGTTTTGCAATTTCAACAGGCGCTGTCCCTTTTCTAAATGCTTAGAGAAGAAACGAAAATGTTCCAAAGCTTGTTGCTTCCCTAATTAAAAGTTGAAAAAAAAATATATATTTTTCGTTCTCGTCAATGTTCTTTTTTTACAAAACTATATTGTCTCATTGTAATAATTTGATACAGGAATAAAATATTTTTTAAATTCAAATAAATATGAATTATTATTAAGTGAAATAGTGAATTTTTTGAAATTAAATAATTATTGAAATATTTTCTCGACTCTTTGGCGACGAGGGGCATTTACACACACACGAAGTGTATGCGCCCAAGATGTGATTTACGATATCGCAAACTACTTCGAAAGCTTCCCTGAACATAGACCAACCGCATTAAATTTCTAAACAGGACCAAACCACCACCGAACGGGGTGGCTCTTCTACTCGTCTACCACACAAGCTTCAGTGCCGGGCATAAGACCAAGCTTAAGTCTTACAAGAAGTTTATTACCCTTGTGCTGCTCTCTATTCTGAGTTTAAAACCAAGAGAGCTGTTCAATCAATAAAAGGGCTAAACTCCTGACACTATGCTTTATCCTTTTATACGCAAAGTCCTTTGAAAAGTCTATTTCTTGCTCTCTTTCTCTCTCTCTCTCTCTGCTATCAATGAGATATTTTATAAAATATATAGAGAGACACTAATTTATGTTTCTTAACGTTCAACTGTATATTTTTTAAGAGATTCAATTTCAATAAAAAAAAGGGAAATTACCCCTTTAAAACCTGAACTATTTTGCATTTTGATATCTTCTTCACCTTCCTGCATTTACACGGAATTGTACAAATAATAAAATTTAATTAATGAAATGAAAGGCATATTTAACATTTAATTAATGTAATGAAAAAATATAATTGAAATTTTATTTTCCATTGAGCTCATCTCGCATATTTCTTTGTCTTTTTAAAAGAATATTTTTAATCTTAGCAGAGCTTCAATATGCAAATGTAAAATGCCAATAATACAAAGCGAGAATAAATCACGAACATCAATGGAAAAGAATTCTTTTAAAATTATTTACAATATTAATAAAAATATTATTATTATTATTAAAAATAAATAAAAACTAATAAAATTTTATCACGATTTGTTAGAAAAATTCATAGGTAATACAAAACTCAAAATATATGTAATATAAAACAGAAAGATGTAATATTTTTCTCTGTTAAGAAATTTTTATTATTTATGACAATTGTAACAGTAAAATAGAAAAAAATTGAAATGGGGAGAATTTCATATATAATAAATAATGATGTAATGATATGAATATTGAATAAGGACAACGACGATGCAAGTTTTAAGCTGAACATTGCCACCATTTCCGGAGTGACAGATATAAATAATCCATCCGACAGCAATGGACCATGGGAAACTTGCATAAAATGCTGTTATTCATCTTTCATAAGAACTGCTCGGTAACGGCGGAAGCTCTTTTCCTTCATATATGCACACAATAACAATACAAACGTTATTAACCATCCAAATGTGTTTTAAACCACTATTTTTTCAGATATATTTTTTTTATTAACATTCTAAAACCAAATGTTTAATTTTATTTCTCTTAGCAGTGTAAAATTTTATTTCATATTTTAGTAGTTTTACTGTACTAAAATTATAAAAAAAAAATACAATGTCTGACTAAAATTTTTCTTTTAATTTTGATATTGGTATTATAAAAAATTACAAAGTTCATGTCTGACTTAAACTGACTTTTACTACTGAAACGAAAATTAAAAGCTCTGTCTGACTAAAATGTTATTTACTACTGATAATAAGTTTTAAAAGTTTATTAGAAACTGATAAAATGGAAAAATTTCAAGTCTGACTAAAATCAACTTTTACTACTGATATTATAATAAAAAAAATATTAAAACGTATCGATTTGAAATGACTTTTACTACTGAATTAGAAATTAAAAAGCTCTGTCTGACTATAAAATGGTCTTTACTACTTAAACCAAAAGCATATTAATTTTTTCAAGTCTGACGATTACTTTCTTTTACTACTGAAATTAAAAATTCTCGTACATTTTACCCTTTACGTAATTAAAATAAAATAAATAGAAAAATTTTAAATCGTTGTCTGACTAAAGTGGTTTTTACTAC